GCATAGCACGACATTTCCTCAGCATCACCTGCATCACTTCCAACAGCTACTTCATGTTGATCACCTCTTAATCTTGCTTTCTTACGTTTCTTCGTTGATCTCTTGGGAGATTTAACACCGGATCGTCCAACGGAGTCGGAAAGATCCTCAAGCTCATCCCCACTTTCTCCATCAATGACCAAAAGACCTTCGCCTTCCGACGTTGAGCATCCATCATCAAGAACTGCCATGATCTTTTCCACACAAGATGATTTCAACTTTCTCTTCTCTTGATCGACGCTCACATAGGGAATGTAGTTTTTGACGGTCATTTCGATGACGTTGCCATTGGGATCTAACATGAAAGGAGTTCTTCCAGTCGGCCATACGAATGAGTAGCCAAGGTCGACGCACCGCTTTCCCATTGAGAGCACGGAAGGTGTGTCTTCCAGGATGTGAGCTTCTGCTGGTTCGTTGAATGCCTCGAACTTGATACTTGAGCGTTTGGTCGAACATGTTACCCCATTTGCTGTATGGAAGTTGACGACTTTGTCATCATATGTCGGAAGATCCATTCTGCCTTTTCGTGTAGATGATATGAGATCGTGACCGCTTCCAGAATCCAATATGAATCTCTTATCTCTCTCCTCAACAGGAACAGTGATACACATTGTGTTGCCCCTTTTACCATATCGACCTTCAATATGCTGAACATAGTTCTCCACAAAGACTTCCCTGGACACCTCACCGTCCTCGATATCGAGTCTGATCAGAATGTCCATGCTAGGGCCGACGATGACCAGGACTTCATCAATGTCACTGTACTCACCCTTCTCGTCGATCAGGATAGCCATTGCTTTCCCTCGGCTTGATGCTAATCTGCATGAATAAGACCATTGCTCATCCTGCCTTATCTGATCGGTGGGCTTGCCAACCTTACCATGACCCTTGGAGATGGTTTGGGATTTCCGGCTGCACTTCACGAAGTCCTTCTTCACGTAAGTTTGAACGTGAGTCTTAGATTCATCAAATCTGACCTTCTTCTTGACCACGTTCGATGCAACCTTGTGGAACGTCCCTTCGTCATCACTCCAATCATGAACAAGTGCAGGAGTAGCCTTTGAGCTTGATGCTTCGGTGTTCGGAGCAGTGTTGAATAGATGAGGATCGTGGCGTTTGTTACATTTGTCTCCATACCGGCACTTGCCCTTAGCCCAATGCCAGCATGGTTCATCAACCTTCTTGGTCTTGTTTGCCGGAGATTGACTTCTTGGAGTTCCTGGCTTCCGACCATTCCCTTTTGCGTTCTTATTCGCATCAAACACCTTTTGATCATGACTATATTCACAATCTTTGCCTTTTCTGCATAATGATTTCTTGATGAAATGGAAATGGCATGGGATCTTCTTCTTGGATCTAGGGCTGGTACTTCGGCTGTTTGCTCGATCCTTTCCTTTCCCTTGACCTTTCCCTTTTCCTTTGGCATGCTGTTTAGGCTGAGGTGATGGTAGAACTGGAGCCGCATCGGCCTTGGCCTTCGCCTTGGGTGCTGCCTTCTCCTTGGGAGTAGCTTTGGGCTTCGCTTTTGGGTTGGCATCCGGTGCAGCAGCAGTTGGATTTGGGGCAGGAGCTGAAGGTTTGCCGCCGCCTGCAAAGTCTCTTGCATATTTCTCCCTAGCGGCCACATGCTTGTCCTCTCTGATTCTGGAGATGTGTCTTTCGATGACGTCCAACAGATAGCGATAGCTTCGTCTTTGGTCTCCTTCAACCCATGACTCGTATTGCTTGATGTCAAACATCATAAGACTCGAATTTCGAATCTTCTTGTATAGAGCATCACGAAGCCAATCATCAGGAGGTACATCATCCGGCATCATGTTTGATACCATCTCCATCCATTTCTCGTAGAACACTTCCAGGTTTGAGTCACCGAGATATTTCATCGATACGATGTGCTCCATGGTGAAGGCTGTCTCTCGTTGACCTGGGGTTCTGAAGTGCTCCAGGATCATAGCCAAGATTTCCCGTCCCATGACATAGGTTCCTCTTCGACTATGACTTTGTGTTCTCAATCTCAATTTGATCGCTACATGACGAGCAACATCACCGGCTTGGGCTATCACATTTGACAATGCAATTGACAACTTGGCGTCGATTGACTGATACCGCTGCCCTCCACTGTCATTTAACAGCTCGATGTCAGGATTTGGTCGAATAGCCGGCTGTAGCCATGCTTCCCATGCGGCTTTGTCCCCATCATTTGCAGACAGAACAACACTCTTAATGAGATCTGATTGCCAAACCCCAAGATTCTGCTGCTTCGGCCATGGGCTAACATAGACTTTGTCAGCCTCACGTCTTGACATTCTCGGTACTTCTTCTGCCGTGTAAGCCGCTGTGGAGACATCATCTGCTGAATCGCGTTGTGATCCTCGAACTGAAGGCAAACCAGGAGGTTCTGGAGGTGGTCCTGGACCGTTAGGCCCGAAAGGGTCAGGAGGTCCATCAGGGTCAGGCGGACCGCCCCATCCACTCGGAGGTTTGTAATAGTCCCTCTCAGTTCCATCGGCGATCTTGTTGTCAACCTCTCTCAGCAGATCAGTGATTCTTTTGTTCGATTGAGAAGGTTGTTGTTGAGAAGGTCCAGCATGTCCACGGTAGGAATGAGCCATATTCGTCTCATAAGTCAGCTCCTTGTCGATCTGCGAAACCCAAGATTTCAGAATGGCGTTCTCAGAGTTAGCCTCACTCACGTCATTCTCCAGTTTGTCGATGACCAGTCTTGATGCGAGATCATAGTTGGGGATGCCTGCCGAATAGGGAAGAGTATCAGGGCTGACCCTGGATATAGATGTTTCAGAATCCTTGAGACTCTTTCTCAGTTCATCTAAGTGACGTTTCATGTCAACAATCTCAGAATTCTTGATACCGATCTTTTCATCCCTATCCTGAATTTCCCCCATGAACATACATGATCTCACATATTGTTGAACACCACTAGCCAACTTCATTTTGCGCTCACTCTCTAGCTCAGACCTTAAAGTTCGGACCTCAGCATTGGTGAGGGACGACGCCCCTACATCCGCAACTTCAGCCAATCTCTCTTTTAACAACATGTTCTCTTGTAAACATTCATGAACTTCATGATCTAGATCCTGAACCCTGATTTGAGCGATTTTGGCTTGATTACGTAGATCTTCAACAAGCATCTCATCGGGGCCACGACCGTCGGTCGTAGTACCCTGAGTCAACGATCTTCGCAACTTCGTGTTCTGCAACTTGATCTCATCCTTTAGTTCGCAGTTCATCTCCTGCTCATTGGCATAGAGCTCTTCATAGTGCTCTGCCCTTGCGATCGAGTTTACACTAGCCTGTGATTCAAGCCTCAGGTGTGATATTGCTTCGGCCTCTTGGTTCCTGTATGATGCAATTCTTCTGACGGTATCATGTTCAGTGTTCCGATGCTTCAGATCACTTTCCAATTTGGCCTGGTTTGCCTCGAAAACCTTCTTTCTCGATTCCCTAGTGATCTCATCAATACTGCTTTCATACAGCTCGGCCTGTTTACGAGACTGAACTAAGGCTTCACTCAATAGCTGATTCCGTTCAGATAATTCATGAACTGCAATTGATTGTTGTTGGCTAATTACTTCAAGTTGATTGCTAGAGAAGGATGCCATTTCGGATCGATTACGATATTCCATGATTGAGTTCTGGAAATCTGTCTGCATTTCTTGACCTTCATTGTATAGTCGATTGGCAATATCGGTGGTTAAGACATTGGTTTGATGAAGTTGTTGCAGTCTTGCCTCCGTATTACCCAATAGTCCTTGAAGGTGATGTCATCCTTGTACTCTTCCTGGATCTCCATACCACGTTGATGGATCCGTCGTGCACCATGTTCCATTAGGGCACCTCGGCGCTCAAGGTCTTGGATGCGTATTGTTGCACCTTCGTCTTCCTGAGATGCTACCATTAGTTCTGCTTGATATTCTGCAACCTCATTTGCGGAACATGACAATCTATGATTGAGTGCGTTGACCTCATCAAATACATTCTGGTTGTGTTCCTGAAGATACTCAGTGAATCTGATCTCGATGTCATGAATCAGTTGATCTCTAGATGCAGCGTATGCTTCCATGTGGTTCAACTGATTACGTAGGGATTGACATTGCGCCCGTAGTTCTTCTATCATGGCAATTGGTTCACTAGCCACAGAAGTATCCGTTGATCTCCTCTTAACACGACTATCCCCGGTCCTCTCACCAATTCGGTCGGTTACGGCCCTGGTGGATCTGTCCCTTGGGGTAGTTCGTCCTCGGGATGGTCGATGCCCTTGACGGACGACATCACTTCGAGCACTGTTTCGAGAAGATCTTGGTGTACTTTGGGTGGATATTCTTCGTCTGTTTGATGTAACCTGCCATCCGGACTGTGTAGTTCGGGTAGAGCGTATCCCACCACTGTCTGCCGTGTCTCCAGGGGAGGATTGGTTGACCTCCTCGACCGGCATAGCAGTGTTCTCATTGAAGGTAAACTGCGTGGTGCGCGAATCTCCGCTGCCGCCTTGCATCTTTGCGATGATGAGCTGATTGGTCCTTTGCGTCCTCAATCAATTGCTCAGAAGGCCCGGCTACCAGCACGCAGGTACCACTCTCCCGACGGGAGAAGTGAGCCTTACGGCTGATAACCTGTGAACAATTTGATCCTTGTTCTGGATGTTATAATTCAAGTAGTACCTGTTTCACTGGTAGTTCCCGGGCGCATTAACTATGGCGGACGGCGATCACTTCTTTTGCTCACGCAAGGGGTCTTGAGCCATCACGGCATCCCATGCACTTACTATTTACTTGTCGCACATGAAGTGTGTGTTACGACCGTGTTCCCTTTGACAGTATATATATATACAATTAAATATACATATATTGATCATGTTCATGTTACAGACAGATAGACAGACAGACAGACAGATAGATAGATAGATATTGTGCATGCACAACCTTCGACCTGAGGCTTCTCAC